ATATATATACTACAAGAGAGGCGTATAAACCAAATAAGAATAAGCAGTAGACTAGAGAGAGCTGAGTTGTATTTTTTAATGAGTACTACGGCTCATTTTTGTCATAGGATAATGAAAATAGCCTTAAATACTAAATTTACAGAAGACAGGTTACATATGATTATTTGGAACAAACATAGCCTTCTAGTCTTCTACTTCATCTTAATTATACAAGAAGATGGCTATGTCTACATATTTTTACATATTAAATTTACAAAACCATAGCCTTCTGTTTTAATGTTTGAAAGCTATGAAAATCAGAAGAAAAAAACACCTCTTCTAGTCTGCTGATCCATATTTTTAATTTTTAGCCTTTTATTTTTGTTTTTTTTATAATTATATATATATATTCTATTTATTGGACAGGCATGAATTCAAGGGTGTCATTTAAAATTTGCCTTTTGGTCCTTTTTTTTTTTCGCCATAACTTTTTAGTTTCGTTTTTTTTCAAGTATCAACCAAAAAAATCAAACAAAAAACAAAACAAACCGATAATAGTGCCTGTTACCAGCTATTAGTGGACAATTTTTAAAAAAATCACGGGGGATCCACATTATGATATAGTCCATGACTTTTAGCCGGAAATCAAGTTTCTCTACATTGTTTTGTTTTAAAAAATCCAAAAACAGTAAATACGTCCGTAAATTTGGCAGAGACTCTATCGGTCTATCGGCTATCCAGCAGAGGGCCATATATGCCGTGATTCAATATTCAAATGGGACAACGGGGAGCTTTCCAGCATTGGGGGGTCTGTACTCCGTGGTTGCCTGGCAGTCTGGTTGACCACTTGACCGCCTGACCCTCCTGGACAAATATTGAAATGCTCAAATAGCGGGACTCTTAAGACTACGGCTGGTATGACTAACTCTTAAGACTACGGCTGTTACGCGTCCCGTTGAGACTACGGCTGTTAAGCGTCCCGTAAAGACTCCCTCTGGTAAGCGTCCCGCTCTCGCCTCCCGCTCTCGCCTCCCGCCAATTAAGCACCCCGCTCCCGCCTCCCTCCAAGTTAAGCGCCCCTCTCTCGCCTCCCTCCAATTAAGCGTCCCTCTCTCGCCCACCTCTGGGTTAAGCGCCCATCTCTCGCCCCCCTCCAAGTTAAGCGCCCCTCTCTCGTACACTTCTTACTATAAATAGGTAGTATGTTTTTACTGATCCGTTACAAAGAGCGGGAAAGATGTAGGTAATAAATAAATTAATTAATTATCGTGTATATAGAGAGCGATATATAACGGTCACAAAATATTAAATACTAATTTTTTTAGCATCGTATATCGGATCCGTAACTGATAACTGAGGTATGTTGTGAAATAAGCTGTATTTTTTTTAGTAACCTTTCTGATGTTTGTTATGGAATACTGCTAAATTTATGAAATCGATCTGGTTACATACAGCAAACTTTACTTTGCGAGAGAGAAGAGAAAGCCTCAATGGAGCCGTAACTGGTAACGTCAAGGCACGCTGATAATGCGCATGCGCAAATGCGAAAAATAATAGTGCATGCTGGTACGTCTGATTTCCGACCTGATTGATTCTTTACCATTAATCGTATCAAAAATACTAATGCTATTATATCAATGCAGTGCAAAGCGAAGAATAAATGAATGCATGCATTGACACATGCTCGCTTCTATATTTTGTTGCAACATTTACTTACCATGTGTCCTGTCCTGCCTATTGTTAACTAGAGTATGCTGCTTGGAGGAAATTTTCTTACAATTCCAGTGAATACTATGAATACGATAAATGTTGTTTACGCGTGCGGAGACTTCAACACGGACTAATGACTATTTGTCTAAAACGAGCGAAGAGTATTTGCCTCCAATAACTGGTAACTGTGTGAGTATTTACTTTATCAAGCAAGCATTTTACTCGCACGTCACTCTTTTTCTTTACATACTGCGTTTTAGCGACCTAAGTAGTACAGATTGAGTCCATAAATAATATAAATTAATACATAATAGTATCGTTTTTTAAACAAATATATTCCAGTCACCGACATGTGAGTAGAAATCATCACAAGGTTTCTGTTACTTATATTATTAGGGAGCCGATTGATTTGTACTTGAAGTATTTCATTATTCCAATCCTCACGCGTTGAGTTGACAATTGCGTATCCCTTTCGCTTGATATAAATGCATTTCACTCCACCAATATGCCCAGACTCACCGCACATCCCACATACCCTACCCTTTTTAGCAGGAGATCTTGTCTGCACGTTCATCGATTTGCGACGATTGAGTCAGCTCATCGTACGCACGTCTGCCTTGTGATTGAAACTGTGAAGCCTGATTAGGTTATGGATCGGCTTGATTAGGGAATGGATCGTCTTTGGGATCATTCTCTTCTAGCTCATGGAACACGCCGCTGTCAATAATGGTGTCCAACGACTTAGATTCTGAATTTTTGTCCTGTGCCGTGCTACCGCTCTGGCCCCCCTCTGCCTTGCTACCTTTCTTACCCCCATCTACCTTCCTACCGCTCTGACTCCCCTCTGCCTTGTTACCGCGCTCGCCCCCATCTGCCTTGCTACCCATCAGAGGTAACACATGTGAGTATTCAAGCTAACAATATAGCGCATATGATTATATA